TCACGGGTTTGGATAGTTGGTTATACAGTCTGGATACGAGTCAGTCCTTTGCCAGCTGTGTGATTTGCAAATATTTTCTCCCCGTCTGTGGCTTGCCTTTTTTGTTCTCTTAACAGATAGATTTTAATAACGCTGTTAGGTTTTTATTGTGATGATTTTTTCTGTTGATCTTTGATTTGTGGTGAGTGTTCTTTGCTCTTTGTTTTCAAATCTAGAGATAACATCAAATGTTTCCTCTTAAAGTAAATTTATTTAAATAAAAAGATAAGTTGACTTGAAGAAAAATGTTAAGTAATAGTATGATTAGCAAGCAGATTGCACAAAAATCACGAAGGCAGTGACTTGAATAACCAGTGTGGGTAGCTTCGATTGAATACATATTTAATGAACAAATATTGACTAAACACCTACTATGTGCCAGGCTCTGTCTCAGGCGCTGGGACACAGTGATGAGCAAGAGGAACAGTTTCTGCCCTTTTGGTTGGTGGTAGTTTCTCTCTAGCGAGCTCCTCTTTATCCTTCAAAAGCCAACTTGGATGACCAGCCTTTCCTGGAGCACTCACCATACCGTACGTTTTGTCTCCACGAGGGTCTTTCTGGGATATGTTTGGCGCCTCTGATCAGGTTGCAGGGACCCTGGTGTATAAGTTCTCAAAAATAGCACCTCACAAAGGAGATGCGAGTATGAGATGCCAACACAGAGTTTGCCAATTCCATTGGTTGAAATCGCCAGGTCCGTTCTGATGAAGTGGCCCACATACAGTCTGGGCCGGCCCCATGCAAACCAAGGTCATCGTCCTTGGCCTTCCCGCCCACGAACAGAGACACCAAGAGAAAAAGCCTCCCCAGCCCAGTGCCTTCAGCTCCCCCCTTTGTTTCCCATCCAGTGCCCCTGGGTGCCTTCCTTTAGCGACTCGCTGATCCCACAGACACTAAAGGCATCTCTTCGCTCTGACTTGGTCCTGGTGTCTGCTTCACCTGACCTCCTACACCCTCCCCCCTGCTCCCCCTCTGCACACCAGCCTGCCTTTCTTCCTCCCATACACCAAGCTCATTCCTACCCCTGGGCCTTTGCACTTGCTGTTTCCTCTTTCCAGAACGCTCTTTCTCTAGCTCTTTCCATGACCGGCTCCTTCTCAACTTTCAGTGTTGAGTTTAAATGACTCTTCCTCGGAGGCACTTCAGGATGTACTCCCAAAAGCCCCTTCTACTTTTACCCCATTGTTCTGTTTATTTTCGTTGTAGTACCAGTGACTTTCATTTCAGAGTTTATTTGCACGTTCATTTGTTTCCTGTCTGTACAAAAATCAGTAGCATCAGGGATGTCAGTACCATGAGGGATTTTGGTGTGTTTTTTCTGTTCCCCAGTGTCTGGCGCCGGTGCCCAGCACATAG